ATGGTGCTGGGCTGGTGATGGTGCTGGGCTGGTGATGGTGCTGAGCTGATGGTGGTTCTGAGCTGGTGGTGGTGCTGAGCTCATGGTGGTGCTGAGCTGAGCACGGTTTTGAAGCCAGGCTGACCACAGTGCTGATCGGAGCTGACCACGGCACTGAAGCCGGGCTGACCGTGGTGCTAAGCTGAGCTGACCATGGTGTTGAGCTACTCTGACCATGGTGCTGAAGCCAGGCTGGCCACAGTGCTGAGCTGAGCTGAGCACGGCGCTGCGATGAGTTTATCACGGCGTTGAGCTGTGCTGACCACGGTTCTGAAGCCAGGCTGACCACAGTGGTGAGCTGAGCTGACCACGGTGCTGAGCTGAGCTCATTGTGGTGGTAAGCCGGGCTGATGGTGGTGCTGAGCCAAGCTGACCACCGTGCTGAGCTGAGCTCCCCGTGATGCTGAACCAATCTCTCCACAGTGCCAAACCGAGCTCTTGGCGGTGCTGAGCTGAGCCCTCCTGGGTGTTGTGCCTGCGGTGAGGCTCGGCGCTGTCCCTGGTGCTCAGCTGAGCTCTCCGTGGTGCTCAGAGGAGCTCCCCGCAGTGCTGAGTCTGTGTCTCCATGGTGCTGGGTCCGTCTTCCATGGTGCTGGGTCCATCTCCCTGCAGTGCTGGGTCCATCTCCCTGCAGTGCTGGATCCATCTCCCTGTGGTGCTGGGTCTGTCTCCCCACAGTGCTGGGTCCATCTCCCTGGTGCTGGGTCCATCTCCCCGCGGTGCTGGATCCATCTCTCCCTGGTGCTGGGTCCATCTCTCCGTGGTGCTGGATCCATCTCTCCCTGGTGCTGGATCCATCTCTCCCTGGTGCTGGATCCATCTCCCTGCGGTGCTGGGTCCATCTCTCCCTGGTGTTGGATCCATCTCCCCGTGGTGCTGGATCCATCTCTCCCTGGTGCTGGATCCATCTCTCCCTGGTGCCGGATCCATCTCCCTGCGGTGCTGGGTCCATCTCTCCCTGGTGCTGGATCCATCTCTCCCTGGTGCTGGGCCCATCTCTCCCTGGTGCTGGATCCATCTCTCCCTGATGCTGGGTCCATCTCCCCGCGGTGCTGGGTCCATTTCCCCGCGGTGCTGAGTGGAGCCATCGCCCGCCCTGGCCCCCGCTGCCTCCCATGGCGCAGCTCTGCCCCGGGAGAGCTGGGGCTCAGCACAGCTCAGGGTGGGAGACGGTGGCAAAAAGTAAGGGGGGACCTGGTGCTGGATTTGGGTTCTTTCCCTTCTTCCCTCCTACATCCCGAAAGGGAGCAGAGGGTTTTGTTCTCACCAAGAGTGGGCATCGCAGTTGAGCAGTAATTTCTGTTTTAGACCTGTGTAGATTCTCTGAACTGAACTTTTCATGCCCATCACTTATTTGCACCATGTGCTGAAGTCAAATGCTTCTGAAGAAAAATTCAGCAGATGGTGTTTAGCTGTATAATCTATTTGGAGGCAGTTTAGCTTATCGATCTCATTGAAGAGCAGTAAGTATGAATAGGTTTTTATTTCCTTTGGACCTTTCACTTTCTTGCTCCCAAATTCCTTGAGCATCTCAGACTGTGTGTGTGTGTCTAACTCTCTCAAAGGAGAGAGGAGCCAGCTGCCTACTTTTCCTTCCAAACACACCCCAGAAAGAACCGAGGAAGTCAAGGGGAACAAATGTCTTAAAAAAAAAAATTACGAAAAATCTTAGAATGCTCAATTAATGCAACTCTGTGGGTAGAAGCAGGATTTGGATGGGGTTCTTGTATTGTCCAGTGTCTTCTTTAACTTCTGCTCCCCACTCCATTTGAATACATGATTTTAGCTACAATCATAGCCAATTGTATTGTGCTGGCTCTGGAACAACATTTGCCGGATGGAGACAAGACACCGATGTCAGAGAGATTGGTGAGTTGCAATCATTCATTTTCATTGTTTTTTTTTTTTTGTTCCTGGTCTAATACAGAAAGCAGTCGGCCACGGGGTGTTGGGAGTGTTTGGATCTATTTTAAAGCAAACACACAGGCATTGATCTGACAATCAGGAAAAATCCGTCACGGTGAGGAAAACCGTCCCCTCCCCATCCCATCTGCACAAGAATGCTTCATCACTCCAGCCAGCCCTGCCCAGCCACGGGAGAGAGCTGGACCTCCTCTCACAAATCAGACTTAGGTTGTCTCTAAACCAGGACAGGAAGGGGCTGATGAATGCTTAGAATTATCTTTGGAATCAAATGAACTTCCACATAATTTTAATTTTCCCAGGGAGTGCTAGAATGGAGTAACCTTTTAGGATTTGTGTGACTCTTCCTGCCACAGATCCTTCGAAGCAAACTTTGGGTTCAGATGATTACACTTCCTTTCCAAAAAAACCCCACAAAAACATGCAACCAACTCACAGAGAACAATTTACCCGCAGGCTTTATGGTAATGAGCCAAATTACCTTATTTCAAAAGAAAATAGAAGAATAGCTTCAAAATAATTCTCCCATTTATCATCACCGTAGGAAAACTGTGCAATTCTTGGTTTGATTTTTCTTCTGCTTTTAATGATCTGGAACGTCTTGCATGCCTAAATGCATTAATCCTGGTGCACGTTCAAAGGATGGATAAATATGGATCCATATGTGTTTTCCATGTCGATGCTATATTATGCAAACAAAGATAACATTAGGCTTGCTGCCAGAAACGAGAGCCTGTGAATAGGGATTGCTGCAGTTCCCAAGGATGGCCCATGCTGGTGGGCAACTCTCAGAATCTCATCCTCCAGAGGCAGGAAAAAGTGTGTCAGTGAGAAATCTGGAGATTCAGGGTCAGAATTTGCTGCTGGTTTGGGAATGGATGAGCTCCTGCTGGCTGCCCTCCTGCATGGGGCTTGCTTTCTCTCTCTGGTGGAATTATTTTTAGTTGAGAAGGTACGAGGATGAAATGAATCAATGATTTTATGTAGATCTTTCTGCCATTCTGTCTCTGTGAGCCTTGGGGCTGGTTGGCAAGGCCAGCTTAGGGGTGTGAGCAAAGCACAGGTTTTAGAGCCAGGACTGAGCTGGGAAAGTGCCTTCTGTGGGTATAAACATATGGATTAGAGAGGGGAAAAAGCAGTTTTGGGGATGTTCTGGTTTGGCAATCCTTTGGTTCATGTTGGTTTTATGTTTCTCTGTACCCCTTGATTCATATGGGCATCCTAGAGGCATTTTATTGTCATTTTCCCCGGTGTATTAATTCCATTTTACAGCTCACACACCTTCAGATCCTGCCTAAATCATTCCAAAGAGGGGCACTGGCATTGCCACTGAACAGTGCCAGAGAGCTGTGTGAGTTAAATGCACAATCTCTGCCCTGTTGGCTCTGCCTTGGAGTGGAAGGAAGAATTAACCCCTGGTTTTTGTCCCAAGCATTTATGTTTGATCCAGATATCCTGAAGCCATGTCAACTACAGCACATTCATAACTCTGAAGTATAAAGTGATTTTTAGTGACAATATTTACAAGTCATGAAATACTTTTTATTTTCAACATAAGTTGGGAAGAGTAAGTACTGTGAGGAAGAAAACCTGTCTTTTAGATTTCAAAGCAAAACCTCTTTAGAAATCTCCTGTTTCTTTTATAAACTGGAAATTGTTTCATTGAAAATGTTACAAATCCATGTTAAACCACAGTGGGGGAACGTTCCCATTTACATTTCCCATACAGGATTTGTAGGTTTGTTCAGCAGAACAATAGGTGCTTTACTGCTGTCTTTAGCAGGAATTGAATTGGTCTTTTTCTGGGTGATGGTTAATAGGTATGGCTTTTTTTTTTCTCCTGGATTCATTAATGATGCCCAAATTGGAGATCATCATTGAAGAGTTAATCAAGGATATGAGGTGCACATCATAAGCCTTTTGTGGGACATGTCAGCAGAGCTGTTGAAGGAAAACTGAAGTTGCCCTGATAATTTGTTCCACAGATACAAAGAAAAAAAAAATTAAGATTTTCTGTTAAAGCTGGTAAAAAAACGGAGGAGCCCATGCAAACATTTCAATTATTTTTGTATTTTAATCACAGTTTTCCTCCATTTATCTCCCCAAGACCTAGGATATGATCCTGCAGGGCAATCTCACCGGGCTGTTCTCTGTGCTCCTGTTATTGTCAGGCAGGGTTAACTGTGTCTCACCACATGCAATATTCCAAGATTCTGAGTGTCTGAGTTAGGAGAATTCTCTCTCTGCCCATTTTCTGTATGCACAGAAGAGCATTACTTGGCTCTGGGCTGGAAACTGTGATCAAAATCAGGGCAATGAGAAAGCACCAGTCTGGTGATCAGAGCGTTTAGTGGAGAACTGGAGGACTGGCTCAGGTCCTCGATCATCAAACGAGAACCAAACTCATTCTCCCACCAGCAGCAGAATGACCCTGAGGCTCCTTCCTGCTCCGAGCTGGAAGTCCCACGTGCCCTGGATGTTGGGAATGTTTCCCTCCCATCAGAGGAACAGGTTTGTCCGTCTCCATGCAGTGCCAGCAGAATGTGGAGCCAGCCTCCCTCTATCCCAATAAATACAGTGCTGTTTGTGCACTCTGGAGTGCTGCCAGCTGCAGTGGTGCTGAGGGAGCTGTTCTGAGCATCTCAGAGCCTGCTGGTGGCAGCTCCAAATGGGAGCTGGGTCCACATTCCCAAATGTGGGAATGGGACCTTCCCATCCCAGCCCCGAACGGCCTTGCGGCTCACGAGGCTCTTGGCTGCCCTCACCAACACCTCCTTCTCTCCCTGTCTCCTCCCTAACTGCTCAGTTCTCCATGAGAAGCTTCAGGAGACCTCTCCCAGGAGGACAGTGATGATTTCAGAGCTTCCAGGACAGGAGATCTCTTTTCTGCCCCTCTCTTGGAAGGTGCCGTGGGATGTTTCCTGCAGGCTCGGGGTGTTTGGCTCCCCCGGGTTTTGGATGTGAGGACAGAACATAACTTTTCCCGGATTTTCAACGTGACAGCTCTGGCAATTTACTAATGGATCCCATCCCCAGGCACTTAGAGCAGTGATATGTGAGCTGCTCATATTAACCTTTGCATGAACAAAGCCTTTCACACCCAAACCTCCCCAGGCTGCCACAGCCGAAGGCCAAGGAAAGACACCAGGACGTGGAGTAGGAACGGTAATGACTTTCCAGACTCAGAAGTTGTTTCTGATCAGAAACATATTGATTAAATGTGTGTTTGGCCCAGTCTCAAGCTCTGCTGTGTCCACAGCAAACAACTTGCTGGCACAGCTCTGGCTGCTGCCCAGATTCTCCGCCCTCCTTCCAAGTACGCACGAGGATGCTCATTCTCACCTGCTCTGCCCCTCTGGGACCTGAGCAGGGGCACAACCTTCGCTCTGAAGGGGCTTCAGGGTGTCCTAGCAGGGATTCTGAGCTGAGGCAGGGCCATTTCAGCACCACACAGGGCATTCACCCACATCCTTCCCTCCTTCCACCACACACAGTCAGGCAAATCCTTCTTTTTTTCAGCTGCAGGACCTCTCCCCAGTGGGGCATAAATTTTATTTTTCATCTTCTTGTTACTGCCCTGATTCTCGGGCTGAATCAGTGTAAATTTAGGCAGGCTTTAGAAAAGACCCTCTTTCTTTCGCCTCTTATTTCCCCAGCTACTCCCTGCCAACCCTGCAGATGAGAGCTCTCCTTTGTAATAAATACCCAAATCCATCTGTGAGCCTTCCTGCTTCCCTAGAAGCTGAAAAAAAAACCCCAAAAAACCCAACTCCTGACCCACTTCCTAAGAGCTCTGTGCAGCCCTAACTTTGGGAAGAGCACATCCCATGGAACCCTGGAGTACCTGGAGCCTGGCTCTTTAAAGCTGGGAGCTGTAACCACCAGGCACCTGACCTAGATTGAGCGGAGACTGGAGTAGATACCCGGCTCCAAGGAAGTGAGGGAGTGATGTGGAGGAGTGGATGTGGGTAAAGGTAGCTCTTTTTGTGTGTCTTGGAAGAGCTATTTTTAGAGGCACGCGAGTAGTTGTGGGATGGGAATTTGGGATGGGCTGGGACGCCTTTGTGTGCAGGAATTATCTGGAACTGCTGAACCAGGAGCTGCTGGGGGGGTTGAAGAACAGGTGGGTTGGGCTGTCAGAGGGCTGCTGTGTCCAGGAGGGAAGGCAGAGGAGTTGTAAGGAACTTCTGGCATCACACAGGATGATTTCTGACCCCTTCTCCCTTGTTCCCTCTCTTCTGCACTGGGTTGGAGCCCTGGGATGCCTCCAGCTCTCGCTGTGGAGCTGCTGGAAGAAGATGTGCATTGTAGAGTTTCTGTTGAAGGTCATAAAAGGTCTGGTGGCCTTTGTTCCTGATTCTCTGTGGGTAAACAGCGCTGAGATTGGCAGCAGTGGTGGCTTCTGTGTCTTCTGAGCAGCATCAGTGAGGCACAGAGGGCTTGGAGGTGCAAACCCCTCCTTGGCCGGGGGGAGAGCCAGTTTTGGCGGTGGGTTCTCATTTTCTCCTCTCCATTTCAGCCAGTGGGAGCTCAAGAGGCCCCTGTTGTGTTTTGCTGCTGCCCAGGCAGTACCTGGGGGTGTCTCTGTGGGTGACTGGCACCTCTCCACAGGGGCACGGGAGGTGGAGCTGCTGGGGCTGGCAGCTCGGAAAGGCAGAGGGGAATAGAGGCAGCACAGGGTGGGAGAGCTGTTCCCACTGAGGTGTGTAGGGATATGGGGAACAAAACTCAAATTCAGGCACTGATGGAAAAAACCTCTCCAGGGCTTGCATTTTCCAGCAGCTCGGAGATCTGGGATGAGTCTCTGGTGGGCTTGCTGAGCTGGGCCATGGCCAGCCAAGCCTCCCTGGAGAGCTGTGCTGGCATCTTACAGATCCCAGGGGGGTCAGGCTGGAGGGGACCACAGTGGTGACATCTGGGGCCACCTCCCTGCTCCAGCAGGGCCACCCCAGAGCACGGGGAACAGGGCTGATGTTCTGGAATATTCCCAGTGGGGGACCCTCCACAGCCTCCCTGCACTCTGTGCAGGGCTGGGCACTGCCCAGGGCAGAAATTCTGTGTCCTGTGCAGGGAAAATTCCTGGGATCAATCCCTGCTCATTCCTCTGTGTCCTGTGCAGGGAAAATTCCTGGGATCAATCCCTGCTCATTCCTCTGTGTCCTGTGCAGAGAAAATTCCTGGGATCAATCCCTGCCCCTTCCTCTGGTGCCACTGCTGGGCTCCAGAGCAGAGCCTGGCCCTGATCTGACCCTTCCTGCACCTCTGGAGACAGCCAGGGACAGCCAGGGACAGCCAGGGACAGCCAGGGACACCCAGGGCTGAAGGCTCCTCTCAGCATCACCTCTCAAGGCTGAACAGGCTCAACTTTTAGGGATGAAAACCTTAATTTCTGGAGCAATTGCTGTCCCAAAATGTGGGTCTATGCCAGAGCTGAGCAGGAGTTGCCGTGCTTGTGTCAAACCTGCTTCTTCCTTGGTTCTGGGGCCACAAACCTTGACATTCCTGCTCTTTTTCTATCAGAGAAGAAACAATCCCCTCTTGTCATTGGGAGAAGTGCAAAATATGAGCAGCTATGCCTCAAACAGCAGCTCAGCTCTTTGGTTCTGGTGGCCAGAAATGCCAAAGCCACTGTAAAAGGGATTTCTAATCTCTCAATGTGGAAGTTTGCTTCTTTTTTGGGTAGGGCTGCTTTGCTTCCATTGAATTCTACTGAAAACCAGGACCCAGGGCACATTTGGAAATTGGTCACTGGTGCCAAAGCTGATGAACAAGTTCTTGAAATTGATGCCCGTCGCTTTTACCTCTTGCTTTGTTCCCGTTCCCTGCCCAAATCTTCCTTCCAAATGTGAATGCTTCCATTTGGCACTGACTTTGTGTTGAAACTCCTGTCAATAAAGCCTAATCCTGAGAGATCTGGTGCAGAGATGAAATAAAAGGTTTAGTAAAATTGTAGGGGCTGAGTTTGATTTTCTCTGTAGTGAGCAAGGACACGAATCTGCGATCTCAAGGGATGTGTTAGTCTGCACCACGGACCCGAGACACAAATCTTGCTGTTGATGGGAGGGGTTGGGGATTTCTCCCTGAACCAGATCCCCAGTGAAAGGAAAACAAATGAGGCTGCAGCTGTGAAAATTGATAAAATGGAGGAGAAGGAGCGGAGAAAGAACCGATGGAATAAATGATAAATAAATAATTTCCTGTCAGTGCTGTCAGGCTCGCTGCGCTGATTTGCACCCCAAGACACCCTCTTGTTTCAGGTTCCTGGATGAATTGCAGAGCATCTTCTACACCAATAACTCCAGAAACCTGTCATCTCTAATTTAAATATACCCTTAGAGCAAAATTTCCGCATCAAAATTCCCTCCAGAACATTCTGTAAGGGTGGAAAGTGTGAAACCACCAGGATGAAGGCCAGTAGAACTGCCAATTTGTAAAGAAAATTCATTCCAAAGAAATAACAATGGAATTCCTCCCTGAGCTTAGTTCCAGTAAAGTTAAACCTTCTAATTTCAGTTCAGAGAGTGGGGAAAGGTGTGAAGCTGGTGCTTGCAGCTGTTTGGAGGACTGGTTGGCAGAGCAGGAATCTGGATATCTCCTTGACTCCTTTAATTTCCCTTCTTTTCCAGGACGACACCGAGCCGTACTTTATTGGAATATTTTGTTTTGAAGCTGGTATCAAAATCATCGCTCTGGGCTTTGTTTTTCACAAAGGCTCTTACCTGCGCAACGGCTGGAACGTGATGGATTTCGTCGTGGTCCTCACAGGGTGAGTGAGCTCCTCTCCCCCCGAGCTTTTTGGGGATTCTCACCCTGATTTGTGCTGTTTCTTTACTCTGGGTTGGGCTGGGGCTGGCTGAAGTGGAATAGAACTAAAAACCTGCATTTCTGGCTGTAGTAAACCCAAGAGTGGCTCTTGTGCTGGATGAGTCACTTGCCAAGCGTTTGAACCAACTCAAAAATGGTTTTGAGGATATTTCCTTGTGGATATTCCAGTGTGTATCTGATCCAGACACTTCCTGACATTTCTGTGACTTTGCAGGTTCTAATTGCCACTGGTACTTGAACCTGATTTAAATCAATTTATTTTCTGACGTTACAGGATGACTTTAGAAGTCAACATGGAGTGCACTAACAAATTAAATGCATCCTATTTTTAAGCTGTTACAACTCTGAAATGGGCCGAGTTCCTGCAGGAATGAATTTATTCCCCTATAAAATAACTTTTCTCAAAAGAATTCAGAGGTGTTTGAAAAGAATTCAAAATGTCCTGTTAAGGATGGAGGTGAAAAGGTTACGTGTGCATTTTGTACCCTGGTTTGAGATGATATCACTGATCTCTCTCTTGAAAACGCTGACAATATTTTACATTATGCATTGCAGCAGTTTCTGTCTATTTATATAAATAGAGGGTGATGCTGGTGGATAATGAAAACATAAACATGGACACTTCTAGTCTACAAATTGGGCTTTAAAGCCTCGGAGGAAACGATCCAAAGGTCTGCGTGAGGTCCTGAGCTTGCAGCCTTCATCTTGGAAGGATTTCAGTTTGTTTCTCCCCAGAAACTGCAGCCTGGCTCCTGCTGTTGATATTCTTCCCGTTATCCATCCTTTCCCACACCTTCCCTGCCTGTGTGTGTGCTGAAGGTGGATATTCCCTGCTCCTGGTGGTGGTGTGGAGTAGGGAAATGCTTGCATACATATACAAATGTGTTCATTAGCTACATGATCACTGTAATTCCATTTGCATTCATGGCACCCTGTGATACAGCACTCCAGAGGCCAAAGGGAATTCTTGATGTATTAAGAGGAGGAGAATAAATATGCAGGGCTTGATTCTCCTGCTGCTGGGGCTGGGTATTTAATCAATAGAAACTTCAGTGGAGGCACAAGGAGAATCAGATTTCCATACTTAGAAGCAGGGGGTACCAGGATGAAAAGAGAATTAGCACAGATGCCACAATTATTCTCACTGAAGCTCTGTTCTGATTCCTGGTTAGCTCCATGCAGTTGTGTCAAAAAAAGAAAATAAATATTATTTTAGAAATAATAAATTTTATATATGTAATATATATAAATATAAAAATATATAAAAATAAAAATATAAAAAATATATAAAAATATAAAAATATATTCTATAAATATAAATGATATCTTTATTTAAATTTTAATATATATTAAATATTTATAGGTAAGAAATATAAATAAATATAGATGAATATATAATAATAATCAATAAAAATATAAATATATAAATAATTATTATAAATATATAAATGATGTTATGAATATATAAATAATTCTTATAAATATATAAATGATTTTATAAATATAGAAATATTGTTAGAAATGTAAAAATAATATATTTATTTGAATTTTAATATCTATTAAATATTTATGTGTAAGCAATATAAAATAAGTACAGATAAATATATAATAATAAACAATCAAAATATAAACAGATAAATAATTTTACAAATATATAAATAATGTTATGAATATATAATTAATTTTATAGATATATAAATAATTTCATAAATATATAAATAATTTCATAAATATATAAATAATTGTATAACTATATAAATAATTTTATAAATATATAAATAATTTCATAAATATATAAATAAATTTATAAATATATAAGCTATAAATCGAGGCCCTGATTCTGGAAAGGACTTTGGCATTGGTTGAATTTATCCTACAGCAAAGCATTCCAGCATATGCCGGAATTCAGCTGACTCCAGTGGTTCTCTACTTAAAGTTCAGGCTCTACAGAAAAGCTTTTCTGAACCCCAGCCACATTGTTTAGGCATGATTTGAATTATTTTGACTTTTTTTTTTTCCCCTCTGTGAACTCAAGACTCCGGAGTTTGTTTGGTTTATTTTACAACCCAGACATTCCGAGTTTTGCGGCCGCGGGCACCCCGGAGCTGGGTTTCTTGTGGGAGCTGCTTGCAGCACTGTTTGATCCTGGAAAATAATTGTGGAATATCAGCTTGATGAGACAGCTGGAACAAGGACCCCCGGTGCCATCTGCAACCCCGCGGGTGCCTTTGAAGTGCCATCCTGTTAACGTCACCGCTGCTGTTTCCAATGGTGACACCAACTGGGCCCTGCTGAAATCGGCTTCTACAAGGGCTTCCCACCAGGCAGCAGTGCAGGGGTGGCAAGGGCTGAAACTCATCGGCATCGAGTCCAGGAGTCATCTCCACTCAGGAGATCCAGGCCTCTGATGCTCCTAATTCCAGGGATGGATTTTACAAGGCGCTTGAGCTCGTGCCCGATTTTTGGCATTAGGGGGAAGCTGAAAATAACAGAGTTACTCATGCTCGGTTTGATGCTTTCCTGAGTATTTCCAGCCCAGGTGGAGGGAGCACTGAAAGCTCTGCAGCTTCAGGGGGTTGAATTAGTGTTTTCTCTGTAGCCTGGTGTGTTTTGCTCTGCATTGCCCAGATCATGATGAAGTTCTTAGCTCACTCCTGTGTTGCCATGGGGCTGTGATGGAAAACTGGAGCTCCTCTTGATGGGTTTCCTTCAGTGGCCAGAACCCTTCCACGTGCCCACTGCTTGCATGAGCTCGGGTGAGAGGGGAAACCTGGGCAGGGATGTTTATTTGAGACAAAATCCTCCTCGTTTCTGCATCAAGACTTCAAAGTTAGCTCAATGAGCAAGAAATTTCCTGCTGACAAACCCTCCAGGGAGGGCAGCAAGGTGGTGACACGAGTGGCACCTTCATTTTCATTTCTGTGGAAGGCAGACTCAGATCTGTGTGTTTCAAAAAAATGATCAAGCTGTAATTTATTAGGGAATAATAAAAAAGGACATTGCTAAGGCAGTACTTAATGTGTTCTTATAAATATAGATAGGTAGGACATCACTTTTTGAAATATCATTTTGCTACTCTATCAAAAGCTTCCCTTTGCCATATGTGCGAGATTTCTACTTGAAAATGTTACTTCATGTTTCCCAGGCAGTGCTCAGCTCCAAAGCTCAGTTTTACATTGATCTTCAATGTTAGAGAGGGATTTTGATTCCTCCTCTTTTATTTTCTTTTTTACTTCTGTGTAAGCACGAAAGATCATGGGAATGTTCCATGATGCCCCACACGGAGCTGTGTACCTCCTAATCCTGCCCAGTGCCCGTTTTTGTGAAGGTAAATGGTGAATGTCAGAAAACCTGATCTCATTTTCAGCTTTTAGCTAAGCCCCAGAAAAGCAAAGAGCAGCTCTGCTCTCATTCTCTGTTTCCATAGGAAAAAGGCCAGCCAGAGTCTGGGTGTGTTTTGGAGGAGGCTGTGGGGGAAGGCTCTGCATTGATTGAACTTAGCCTTATGTAAATATTCCAGAGATCATGCAGCAATCCTTCCCACCTGCTTTTTCCAACCCATTTTTTTTTTTCTCTTCCTTTTTATTTTTATTTTATTTTTTAATTTTTTTTTGGCTACTCAGCGCCTGCACACTGGAATTATCGATAAAGATATTTTTTATCTACCTGCAATGAGGGAGATTTTGTTTGTCAAAAGCAGACAGCAGAACTTGTTAATCAGGAAATACATCAGGGCTGTGTTCCATGCAGCCAGGATCAATATCCTATTGAGCTAAACTCGAGTCTAACAGATAGTGGCCCAAAATGGCTTTGGTTTGTTGTTCCAGAAAACACTCCCTCGGTTTCTTTTCCCAGCAATGCTGTGGTGCCTATTTCTCATTTGCTTCCAAGGAAACCTGTGGATCTGCTGTTAATAAAGGCCTGGGAAAAGAATAGGTTGTTCTCCTTGAAAGATTTTATTTCCTCTGTGATTTTTTTAGCGATTTCTGGTGATCTCCACCAGTTGTAGACGAGTCTCAATGAAAGCTGCTCCTGCTGGGATGGGCCTGGTGCTGCTGGGGAGAAAAACACACGTTTTATAGCTCCTGCTCATTTTATTTCCACCTTTCTGTGGGCTTGCATTGGCTCCAGTGATGACATCACCCATTAGCAGCTCTAAATCACACAAAATTGCAGTTTCTCAATTGGCCTGGGACTGGATGATCTTAATGCACTTTTTCTAAGGTGGAGGCAAAGGGACTTTTTAACTCTTGCTCTTGGGGTTGAAAATCTCAGAAATCCAGAGAGCTGTTCTGGGAACCAATTTGTCCTGTCCCCAAATTCCTCAGCTGGAGCCACGAGCTTTGATTCAGGGTCTGGAGGGTTCAGACCTGCTCCTCTTGGACTTAATGGGAGGTTTTCTCCTGGGCTTTAAATGCAAAGCCTGAAGAACTGCTGGGTTTACATGGAGCTGGTGTCAAGGGGAAGAATGGAGAGCAAGGCATGGACAAAATAATATTGATCATTGATTCCCAAAATTCAGATGTCCAGGGATTTTTGAGGGGGAAAAAAAAGGCTTTTAAACCGTGATGTCCAAGGGGCCTGTCCTCAGCTGTGTTTTGGAGCTTGTTTATACTTTTGGTTTCATCATATCATGGATAATGGGCCTTAGGGTTTAATTCCATACCCCAAGAAAGGAGCTGCTCATCCCTTTTTCATCAGCAGCTACCTGAGATTCTCCTTGGTGCCTTCTAGTAAGGTTTGAGGAGTTCCTTTTCCTGCATGCCTATGGTTTTGTGGAATGCCAGCATTTCCCCAGCCAGAGATTTATGCTGCACAACCTCCCCGAGGCTGAGGGACTTTTCTGTGAGGGCTTTTCTGTGCACCACAGGCTTTTTCTGCTGCTCTGGTCCTTTCCCAGTTCTGCCACATCCTCATGGAGTGACCACAACCATGAGGTGT